TGCAGTAAAATTCCACCAAGGCACTGCTCAGCTGCCTCAGTCACACTTTCCCTTTGGCTGTCACCGTGCTGGAAGTGGACACATGTTGTTGATTTGAAATCTTCCCTCCTAGGTCTGAAGTTGGATGTGAGATACCATTTAAACTCCATGCTCAGTGTGAGGAAGGGTCAGAGCCTTCTGTCCACTGCCTGCCCAGACCTGCTCATGTCCACAGCTTTCCCATTCCTGCCTTTCCCTTTCCTGCCCATTTCCTGGCCTCCACAGCCAGGAACTGTGCTTTCCTTCTCCTGCCTGCTTGTGGACTACGCTGGAATCAAATAATATGTAATGACACTGAAATGTACACATACAATGTAATGCATYATTTAATTGTGAGACTTAGCTTTATTATCAGTCTCTGTTGTATTAAAATACACACTTGGATCTTTGCATTGAAGACAACAGGTCTCATTTTTCATTTCATCTTACCTCTCCCAGCAGATGTTTATCTTTTCTTACATAGTCAGAACAGTTCCAAGGGGATTGCATAAAAGCAACTRCTCCTGACATTGCATTATGCGGGAGTATTTTTGTTATTGAGTGATCATAGCACTTATTGGCAGGCAGTTTTGAAAACAAACCCCCCCAATATTTACATAATGCCATCTCTTTTTGATTGTGCAGTTCATTTCAGCTTCACTAAACAGCTATATTTTGAAATTACTCTCTTCCCCCTAAGGAATGGTCATAAAAACAGAATCAAGCTCATAAATCTGTTGTGAACTAGTTGTACAGTTTCTGCAGAATTACACATCCATTGCTGTGAGACATTGAAAGTATTTATTTGTTATCACCCTTTTAAAGTCAAATGTGTGAAAAGTAAATTCTCTCTGTTGTGATTAACACGGTGACCCACCGGCACAACATATGGAGCTACATTCTTACAGAGCAACTTCTCCCTGTACTGCCGTTCACTCAACTAAGATTTTCCTGCAAGTCATAAGTCTTTTTTTAATAGTGGTAATAAATAAAAATGTGAAATGTAATTGAAAAGTATCTCAAACACTGTTGGTAGGTCTTTGTCCAACATTGATTTATGTTGTAAATCCACAGCCTCTGGTGAACGGTGCAAGGAGGGGAGAGGGAAAGTGTGTTCAGTTCTTAAGGGAACGTTCTCTGCTRTGTGGAGCTGGGACAGAAAGATTTGAGATGCAGCTGGTGTTGGTTCCAAGATCTTTTGGTATTGGAAGCAATGTCATCATTAGGAGGCTGTTAGGAGGCTGATGCAATCCCTGGTGTTTATCATCTAYCAGTTATTCTGGTCTCTCTCTGAGATAACCATAGAAGATTTATAGTTTTAAGAGAGAACTTAGATTGCTCTGCATAATAAAAACCAGGGGGAAAAAAACGGAATTCTGTAGGACAAGAATTCTGATTCTGCACCTCTGTTTACTTCCTCCATTGCACTGTCAAGACAGGGAGAGACTTCTCAACTCTTGAGTAGTAGGGCGGTTTCCCAGAAAGCAGATGTCAGCAGCAGAAACCTCTGAGAGTGAAATAAGGAAGAGTGAGGTTCTTCAACCAAGAGMATTTTTTCTAGTTTCCCAAATTTTCCCAAGATAAAAACCTTCTGACAGTGATTATACTGAGATGTCCAGTACTGTATTTTAGTCAGCTGCTTCCTGGGATGGATCCTTCCCTTGGAAACGAAGTATCCATGAAAAATTCTCAGAACAGGAAACTATGGAGCCTGGGTTCATAAAATGAAGGATGACTGAAGTGAGTTTTCATCAAAGAATTTATGTCCAAGTGAAACATTTAATTCCAGTACTGGCTGGACACATATCTCTTTACATAAATGTTGAATGAATGCTCAGCCACTCTAAAGTGAGATGAATTAATCATATCAATTTCACCTTCAGACTCAGCCTAAAGAAAATGTGGGAAAATGTTCACATCCCAAATTCAGGTTTAAGGTATTTTCATTATTACTGTGCCGACAGAGTGAAATGCCGACTCCCTGACACAGAGAAGGGATGGCTGAAGTTTTTCTTTCAAACTGATAAAGTAACATCTTCTTCCCACTTTATTTATTTATTAGTATTTGTAGCTCTTCATTTTCAAAGATGTCATACTCATTGCTTTAGGACAAAAAGAACTGTAATGACAAATATGGTTGTTATGTTTCATCTTATTCCCAAGGGTGTGTTCTTCTTCCGATGATGAGCATCTGCTCCTAGTCATGTAGAAATCTGATTAACAAAGCATGATCTTTGATTAGCATATTTCAGAAATTGTTTCTTATTACAAGCTGTCCTAAGGGCTTGTGTTGCTTAGCAGTAGAACAATCATCCAAATGTATTTAACATGTTGAGGAACTTTGCAGACATATAAATCCCTCCTTTGAACTTCAGTGTTCGTATGGATCATGCATTCTGCATAAGTGGGGAAAAAAATCTCAAGAAATAACAATGCACATCATAGGGTTTTGCTGTCTTCTGACAAAGCTTAAAGTTTGGCTTGTATTTCATAAACTGCTGTTTTGAACTGTATGTAAGGGCTGTGCGTAATGAATAATAAATGATGCTTCTATTATGTATTCCATTTAAGGATTTTCATGAGCTTTTCCACCATGAATGGAATAATTCATCCAACACAGTAGTTACTTTATTTATTATTGTCAACATTATTATTGTTTTCAGATTTTAGAAGTAACTCACTGGGGTATAGAAAGTTGAGGCCTGATTGTAAGGAAATGGTGGCTGGGATTTCCARCCACATCTTTTCCCATTGCTCTCCTTCACACTGATGACTATTCAACTGTCAACTCTTTTTTAACAGACAATTTTTAAATTGCAAAATACTTGAAAGTTGTGTTGCTTTTACCAGTAATGTATAGTGTGATGTTATTTCAGAATTGCATGYATTTTTATTGCCTTAGAAGATCTAAATAGTTCTTGAAATCCGTAAGATTCACCAATTAGAGTAAATCATACTGTGAAAAAATGTTAAGCATTATAGCTGTGCATGATGCTACACAGACCATGTGGGCCTAGATTTTGCTTCTTATTCATGCCAAACTAGTATTCACTTTCCTAGCTAAACCTACATCCCCACTTCAGCAGGTTTGGGCTGATGAAACCTCTGAGCACCAGGCCAGGCTGTGCTTTGGCAGCTCTTAGCCCTGGGCTGGCAGCCAGTTTGCACAGTGAGTTTTGTTGATGCAGCATTTTGCATCAAGGATGTGTCACCAGCAAAAGCAAACARCGTGCATGGGCTCCAGCAGCACAGCAAGGCCAGCTGAAAACGAGCAAAAGTTCTGGTCATTAAATTTGTGTCTGTGATTTCTGAATTCCCTCAGCCCACTGAAGCGATGGTGTGGTGACCCTGCACATTCCAAGTGGTGCTCACTCATTAAAGGTTTTGCAGAAGGTGTTTCATTCTGGATTGTCCTACATGTAGACAGCCAGCTCAGGAAACTGTGGCTTCAGTTTCAATCCCTGTCAAAATCTGCCTCARTCTTTAACTCAGTCTCCAGTGAGAGTGAAGTAAGAGGATTAAGAAGGTGTATCTCACTCTTTGTGTTCTGGGAATGTAAAGGGCAGGGAATTGGATACGTCTAATCTGTCTGGTTTAAAAAAGACACCAAAAGGCGACAGCAAATTGTCCCTGAAGAGCCTTGAAAGTCTTTGGTCTCTTCRGTGGGACAAACCCTGGCTGCTCAAACACTGCCTGTGTATTTTCCTAATGGCAACACATTGAGTGTTGATGCCTTATTGTTTATAGTTAGGAAACAGATGGTCTTTTCTCCTTCCTTGCTCACTTCACCTCTTCTATCAGTTTTAATGGTTTAAAAGAAAAAGCTTTTAACACTTTTGCTGTGTTTTTACGATTTCCCCCTGTCTTGCACCAAAGGCATTCCAGTAAATACATATGCACTAGTGAAGCTTAATTGCCCATCACAAATGTGTAATGGGTGTTAATGTGGCAGGAGCTTGTAGCTGTGGCTGTTTAACCCAGCACAGAACAGCTGCAGCACTTCAGACCTGCAGGAAAACAGAAGAACCCTCTGCTTGTTGGAAATATATTTGCTCTTAGAGAAATTTGGTTACATAGCAAACTAAAACTTCTTGTACTTGAAAACTTTCCTTTGAAAGTTTCTCTGATTGTTCATTAGAAGTGGGCAATGGTTGTCATAAAGGGCAGTAAGAGTCATACAGTCCACAAAATGAAACCAAGAGTTGCCCATTTCCAAGAACTCAGCGAGATGTTGGGAGGGATCGGAGAGGTAAAATGGGATTTGAAAACATTGAAGAGGAACAGGAAATCAAATTTATGGCAATAGAATGTCCAAAAAAGAGCTTCTCTGAAAATCACTTCTCAAACAAGAGTGAAATTTCTCCATTTGACTGGTATGGCAGAGCTTTTCCTTCTGAAGTGCTCACATAACCATATTTTGAATATTTATAATTCATCTTGGCGGATAATGTCTTAAAGCTGATCTTTAGAAACCTCTACTCAACCATTTTAAATATAGGGGATACTTAACTGTAAAAATTAAAAACAAGCTCTGAAAATAACATGCCTCTTTTACAGCATCTGTGAAATTAAATTTATTAGCATTCTGCATTATGTTAGCTATTAGTTAGCTTCTAAAATACTGGTCATTTTGTTATTTGAGTCTATTTTATCCAAATACAGCTTTTCTGTGAAATAAAGAGCATGATGCAGGTTGTAAAACCAGAACTTTATCCCAAAGTGCCATGTCTGGTATTAATGTGAATACCAGTTAGACTCAAATCACTGTTCAATTATCAGTCTTTAGGCTCTTCATCTATCTCTCTATGTGAACTTCTCTATTTCACATGCAGTCTGAAAACAGCAGCACATACTATAAAACAGCAAAGGATTTTTTCACTTATATGTGGGAGTGTTCATTCTAACCAGCTGTCATCTGCCAGCCAAGAGAGATCTAGCATGCATTTCTGACTTTATTTTTTAATATGTTTGTTTTTTTATAGCCCTTGATCCATCCAAAGATCCCTGCCTGAAGGTGAAGTGCAGCCCACACAAAGTTTGTGTCACCCACGACTACGAGACCGCGGTTTGTGTGAGCCGCAAGCAGCTGGTGCACAGGTGAGGAAATTTCCATTTCTCAAGGCTTTTGTGTGTCACAGACCTCCAGTATGGGAGGAGAAGTGAAGTTAGAAAACTCCAAAATTAGTATAAAAAACCCCATAATTTTAAAACATTCCTTTAAAGCTYAATTTCTATTAAAATAAAAAGGCCAAGAGAAGTTTTATGTCTGTAACTGAGGCTGCTCCAAAAAGATGACCTGGAACATGGTGCATCTTGTGGTGTGGACTCCACAATTTTCTGCCAGTTCTGGGAGGGGTTTTCTCCCCACAGAGAGCACTAACTGTGAATATATTGTGAAAACTATATTATATATGTGAATATATTTTTAAAAATCGTGAAATATGAAAGCGTTGTGCCAGAGATGTCTACAGTTCCAGTAACATACTTAAAAATAATTAAAAAGAGATTAGTAAAGACTTTTTAAAAAATATATCAAACCTATGCTTTAATTTGCTAAAAAACTGAAAACTCTTGGTGTAATTTTGTAGAGTAACTCCTTGAGAAGTCTAACTACAGAAATTTCCAGATCAGATTGCTGAATGACTGAATTAAAAATGACCTAGCTAATACGTTACAAAGCCAAGATGTTCAAATTAGACCAAAAAACTTCAAAGAGATGAAGCTACAAATAAAAGAAGAAAAGCCTRCTGATCATGGATTGAGATATGCTACAACCAAGAGTTAAGAAATTTATAAACAAATGTTGAGAAAACAAACTTTGCCCTATTTTGGAAGCAGAGCTAGTAGAACCTTTTCCCCCAAGGAAACTGGGGCTGAGTATCTCCAGAGCCTGAGTGAAGACCCAGAATTAAACTGGAGGAATAAGCCCCTCCACATGCCAACAGATATATAACAGAATAAATTGTGTACTGCTTGTAATTTGACTGTAACACAACTTAGGTCCTTAAATGTTGTTGTCAGCCAAGATGGTAGTTTGACACCTGTTTAAGCCAAACTAAATTCAGGATGATCTGCATCCCATGTACTGATACTACATCTCATCTCACTGACACCTGCTTGAGGAAGCTAATCCTGTAAGAAAAAATTGTCTTTGATTGATAACACAAAGTAAATGGTGTAATGTGCATGAGGCAGTGTGTTTAATGTTTGGTTTTCAATATGGAATGATCCCTGGAAGGAAGTTGGGAGTCTGCCTGTGTGCAGTGCTTCCATTCTAATGACATTTYTGGCATTATGAAGCTTACATTTTCTAGTTGTGATGGATTGAAACCTGGTTTAAATCCTTGCATTATGTAGTAGTCCTTGTGATATATAGACATAGGTGTTGAGCCAAATGCTTTCTGAGCTATTTCCAGTMTTTAATGTTTCCAAAGTAGTCAGAATGTTTCAGAGGAATGGTGCAGGAACTGAATATCCTTTCTTTGCAGAAACCAGGCTGCATTTCATGTGATCTCTCTATGATTCCTCCACTGCCTGCAGCTGTTTCAGCAAACCTTTGAGTAGCACTGTGACTATGGAGATGAATCAAAAAGTATTGAAAACTTACTTTGAAAATTCTCCAAACAATTTCCARCAAGTTTTGCAATGCTGAAAGAATTGCTGCTGCTGTGTGATAGTGGCACATATAACCCCACAGTGGTTTTATTCTCCAGGTACTCAGCTACCCTGGCCTTGGAGGGYAAATAGGTCAAGGAGGGAAGTAACCAGGGCAAATTATCTGTTGATTTGAATCAGTGGAGTTGACACCCCCTAAAGGTTTTTATCTTTAGTCCCACCGCATTTTTCTCTGCCTGAGCTCAATACTTCTGTACGTCTGACTCCAGTCCTATTTTATGCTGTGTTCATCAGGAGTAAACACATTAAAAGGGGTGGAGTTGCACCTATTTAAAACCAGTGAAAATTGGAATATATTAGTGTKGGCAAATGTAGTAAGAATTGCCAAATAACGCAGCGCTGTTGTGGTTGTTTAGCACATCCACCGGTGCTTTTGGGTGTGCTCAGGAGGATTTTCCATTTCATGCATCATTATCAACTTGCTGCAGTTGCTTTACAGTGTGTAGGCTCAGCAAAAAGTAATGGAGAGCAGCACCTTTGTTATTGCTGAGTGTCCCAGCCAGAGCTGCTCTGGTTTGTGTCACCCCGTGCCGGGCGTGCTGGAGAGCTGCACCTCAAGGACACTGTGGTTTTCCAGGCACAGTGTGTAGCAAACTCTGAAATCTCTGTGCCGGCACAATGCCATTCCCATTTCATTTCCTTTCTGCTGGACTGCTCACTTTTTAAACCACTGCAGGAGCTCAGTAGTAGTGTAGAAAATCAAATTGCATGGAAATGTTTTATTTAAGCTACTCGGACCCTGCCCCAGGGGCAGTCTTACCTCTCCTGTGCAACCTCTTCCTCTGCTCCTCCTCCCCTCCACAGTCACCTGGTGAGCAGCTCTGGGTCTTGAATCCTGGAATRGTTTGGGTTGGAAGGGATCATCTCCTTCCAAYCCTCCTGTCCTTTGGATCTACTGATACAATCAGTTGGTTCGTCAATTGACCTTGCTGCGCTCTTAGTTCTTTTTCTATTCTCTTGTTCCTTTTAATACTGATTCTAAAAATAATTTTGTAGTTTTTCATTTGTGTATTGTACAATTCAGGGGAAAGGGCATAGGCCAAAGGRAGCTTGCAAAATAGCATTATTTGGATTCCTGTTGGTATATTTATCTGTGTTAATTGTATGTGTTTTATTTGTRTATATTTTCTTGAAGGGACTATCACAAGCAGAAAGATGGGAGAACCCAGGCAACAACAGGGGAAAACCACTGGGTAGTTTATTCATTTTTGATCCTTTCTTCATSGGCATTAACCAACTAATTTTTCTAGTAAGCTTTTAGTACTTCAGAAGTTAAGGCAGGTGTCTGAGAGGTATTTCAGACAGATAAGAGTTTTGTCAGCACATCCTCTAAGGCGTTCACAGTACAAATTGGACAGTACATTTAGAGTAAAGGCAAGATTTAGTTGTAATTGAAGAGTGTGAAAAAGATAAATGTGGAGCTACCTTCTTATATGTTTAATAGTCCTAGTGCTAACAGTAGAGTCTTGTGAAATGTTTTTTTGGGTGGATTAAAATCCCTTTCAATTTGAACATCTATGAGGAAAAGTCTTTATTAGTTCAGTTTTGCATGAAATGCAGTAGTTAATATCTCTCAAAGTTTTCTCATGCATTTTCAGTCCTGTAATACTTTGTGCCATTTGTCTCTGCCGGTGCTGATAGCGCAGCGGATGGGAAGGAAAGATGTCACTCTTGGGCTCTTTTCAAAAGAACAGAGTGAGAWCAGAGGATTGATGTGAAAATAATGGGCACATTAACATGTCCGGGGTTTACAGCTTTGTTCAGTCCATTTGACTGGCAATCACCAATTAGCTCATCWCTGCAGTGTATGTCACTCACAAAGGTAATGACACATCTCTCTGCTTCTTTGCTTTGCCTTAGAAATCCAGCTATTTACTCACCATTTCTTCAGGACTTTTAAGGATAATGCTGCTGACACAAGAGTCTACTACTGAGTTTCTCACTTTTCTTTTTTTTTAAAGATCTGGACAAGTTCCCAGATAAAACATCTGTTCTTCCAAATTACACGTCAAAACCTCGGTCTGACCAGCGTGGCAGYGTTGGCAACTACACTTATCCACAAAGAGAAGACAAATCTCCCTCTCTTTCTTTACAAATCCTGCAGCTGATACACCATTTCTGGTTAGGAAGRGCCCTGTTCAAAACAAGTCAAGTAAAACATCCCCATATGTGAAASTGAGCATTTTCATGGCGCTGCTCCTGTTTGCCAGTCGAGTGCTTTAAATTGCATCCAAAACGGGGGAGCAAAAGCAATCACTGCCAGGGCATCAGTGACCCACCTGCTTTGGAGAACTGCTGGGAGCATTACAGAGAAATCTCTGACCACAGCAAATGCACTTTTAGGGGTTTACTGAAAAATTGTGAACATAAGCAAGGATTTGAAACAGTGCAATTCCTCAATGTCTATGATTRCATCGACGATCACCTTTTAAAATGTGCTAAATAGAGGGCCTGTGAACCCAACCCTATTGTTTTGCCCTCCTCTCCGACTCCTGCCTGCCTGTGTTTCCTCTTGCTTGCTTCACTGCTAAATGCTGATGAGGGGTTGGCACAACACCAAGGGTTCCTCTGGGGGTTACAGATTCCTGTGCTGWAAAAAGAAAGCCATTTCAAATTTGTTGGATTTTTTTTCCCCAAGTGATACAACTATATTTACAAAAATCTGCAAACTGGTTTGAATTCTTTAAATCTGACTTTTCCTAGTGGGTGGGGGGGGGGAACCAAACAAACGATGTTTTTGTGAACAACTTTTTATCCACCTCCAATGCTGATATTGATTAATCTACTGGCATGGATCTGCAYTTCAGAAGAAAGAGCATTGAAATATTTGATTAAACACACAATCACAAAACCCAACAGATTGTATTAAATTTCTTTTAAACAAAGATATTGTACTGGGGAAATTGCCAAACTTTTGGCGTATTATTCCCAAGGGTAGCTGTGACAGAGTCTTGGAGAGTTACTTTCATCCTCAGTGAATGAAAGTTCTAGACATTGGCAGGATTGAGTAAATGTTTGTTGTTTGGGGTATTTTTTTGTAAGTTGTTAACTCTAGTGCAGTACTCTGTAAAGACTTTTTCTTACTAATATCTAATCCCTCACGGTACATTGCACAGTTTAACTGTGGCTCATGCTGTTTGTCCAGAAAGAGAAATGAGAATCAGGAAAATCAAAGAGAGAAGGGCCTTTGAGGTCACAGCCAAGTGCAGCACATAATGTAATGTGCAAGGGGTGTGCAAGTGATGTGTGCAAGCCCTTAGAGGAAACTTRAAAGCTTTTAAAAATATTTCATCTCCAGATTGCCCAACAACAAAGGAAGCCTCTACTACAGCGCACAAGCTTGGGATTTTGCAGCAGACAAGTTACAGATACATGGAAATCAGGAATGTTTGTTTTGTTATGTGGTCCAAGTTGCCTTTTAA